ATGAGTTTGGGACATTAAGAAAAGGATGCTTTCTCTCCCCCCCAGCTTTCTCTCTTTGCCATTTGTACCCAAAAATAGAATACATAGCAGTCACTCTATAAAATCCTTAAAATAACAGAGTGGCAAGATATAAACATAGCAGCAAGTATTTGGAATTTGGTCTCAGGGGACAAATATATGTGTAAGTTTGCTTGAATAAAGGATGTACTTCATATAAGATATGTTATCTAAGTAAATGATCCATAATGAAATAAATTGAATGCTTCTTTCTCTCAGAGAACGGGGATCTTTCAAACTTTTTTCAAATTCTTAGGCTGCAATAACATTGCCATAGAGGAAACTCCACTAAACTATAAGGCTTGCATATGAATATATATTTAAAGGTTCATACAGTATTGTCCTTTTCCTTCCTTTCACATTATAACCTACTTCAGGAACCTCAGATTATTCTCAATCTGCACCAGTTCTGAAGAAAAGCTGTTCCAATAGTCCACCCCACTTGATTTTTTCAGTTCTATAATTCAAGCTATTGTCAGACAGAAAGCACAAGATTGACAAGAACCATTGTCCTGACACAACTTGAGGACACCCTTTGCTCCTTCCCCATGGTGTTTGTCAAAGAAGAGGCTGCAAACTAATTACCGGCCAGTTTGACAAGCCAGCTGGATTTCTGCCTGAAGCAGCAGCTGTAGGTTTCTGTCAGGTCTGCAGAAACAAACCCTGCTGCCTCCATGAAGTGAGCCAATCCCACACAAAGCTCTCCTAAATTGCAACAAGTCAAACAGCTGGCATCCATTAACAATCTGGCACAAATCTTACCTCCAAGCAACAAACAGCCCAAATTGGCGCTATGAGCTTAGAGACTCAGATCAGGCTTTGGATTGTGACTGTTCTCTTGCTCGAACTCTTAAGTTGGAAGCTTCCCACCCTGCTTGGTCTTGCAGTGGAATTCGTGTTTCTTTCGAGTGTTATTGGATTAGGAAGTGGTAACAAGCGCAGATTTCCTAGACTAGTGAGACCAAGGAGAGTAGTTGTGCTATTTCCACGATGGTAACTTAGGCAACTTCTTCTCTGGGCTCTAAGAAACTCAACAACTTGCAGCATTGTATCCAAGACTATCTAATGCAGGGGTGTCCAACCTTGGCAACTTTAAAACTTGGGAACTTCAACTCCTAGAATTCCCCAGCCAACAGTCTTAAAGGTTACCAAGGTTCGATGTTCCAGTTTCAATGAACAGACCAACAGGAAGGGAGCAACTATTCCATAAGGTAACCTGTGCTTTATTAATGATTTCTCCACCATGTGCAGCACAGAGATGTGTTAGATGGCATAAAGGGCATGCCCTACCTCTCCATTTGTGATGACATTCAACCTGTGCTCTGTGCAGATAAAAACCTTGCAAAAGCAATGCAAAATGATTCTAGGCAAACATACCAGAGTTTTTTTTGGAAATCTTGAGAAAGAGCTCCCCTGAAAAAAGCTGAAGCATTTTATAATGCATTTTTTTTAAGCAAAAATCAGATCCGAAGTACAGATTCCTCAAGTAGGATGCAAAGGAACTATAGAGAAGTAATATACTTAGCAAAGATTGGTGAAAATACATTCCAGTTCCAAGAAAATGGGGATTGACATGCCTCTCCCTACCTTGCTCAAAGAGCCTTCTTACAAATTCTCACTTTTCTCTACCCTCATTTCAGGCTGGGTTTCTATGTAACACATTTCAGATGTTTCCAAAGTCAGTGCAAGGGATTTGAGGGCAGTTTGTTTTGTACTGAAAGGTAAGAGGTGGGACGTTACCATGGAAGCAGGAGGAGGAGCAGCATTTCTTCCCTCTCTTATTTTTTCCTATGAGATGCAGAACACAGAAGGACGCAGATGTAGTAAGAATCATTCATACAGAAATTCTTGGTGCTTCAGTGATTGCTTTGCTATAGGACAGGTTTAATAAGAAAAAGGGAAGATTTCCCCCTTAGAAAGGAAGGGGGGAAAAGAGAAGGAAGAATAGATGCAAAGGAAGGACAGACAAGGAGGAGAAAAAAAGAGAAAAGCAATTGTCAAGAAAGTAAAGAAAGACTTTTTTTTAAAAAAAAACTGCAGATATACAATTCTTGCAAAACCCCACCACCATCTGGATAATTTAAGAATCATGGCCAACAGTGTTTGTTGCATATTTAACTGGTTGGATATCTAAAAAAAAAACAAAAAAAACCCAACTCTCAAAACATCCTGCCATAATAAAGTTAATCAAGCTGAATATTTCCATTGACAAAATTAGTTCATGGCACTCAATCATTTTTATGTGGCCTTTGAGTAGCAATGGAGGAAGCACTAGCACACCTGAGACCCATGTCAACTCAGCCCAGTTTCTCCTATCTGGGCCTTTCAGATGTGATAAACTCCAACACACAAATGTTTTAATTAAGCAATGAATGCAGGCCTTTGTTGTCAAAAACATCTGAAAAGGATCAGATTGAGGATAGCTGGGCTACTTCCAGCCATTAAAATATTGCAATTAAATGACCATATCCCATCCTAGGTTGCAAAAGAAAACATGAAGATTTAAAAAGATAGTTTAAGTAGTCAATTCCAACTAAGTACAATGGTTGCCTTCTGGTTAAGCCATTAATAGAAACTATTAGCAAAGTTTGCTCAGATATAAAATTGGAGCCACAGCATATATAGGAAGAGGATGATAACACAATGATTCCCAAACTTTATGGAGTGTTATCTGCCTTTTAAAAGTCCTCATATTAGGTGATTCAAGCAGAGTGTCCCAGGGCAGCATTTTACAAGTCTGTATGTGAGACATATTATTCCGAGGCAAAGAGAGGGACAATTTATGAGGTTTTTCTGACCTGTCAGGTACCAAAACCAACCCCATCACTGTGAAGGCTCAAGACATAGATATTAGGATGCCAGCAAGCAATGTTAAATAGGCTAGTCTAGGCCTGAAAGAAAACAGATTATTCCCACCAATTGTTTCGTAAGCCAATTTACAAAATATGCTCAACCTTTTTGCATATAACAGTGGAGTGGCAAAAATAAATTTAACCTGGGCTCTAGACTGATACAAATTCAGAACATCTTGACTGAAATCACATCTAAACTAGGGTGTTTAATTGATGCAGTCTCTACCCACACAGAGAATGTAGAACTACTAGTTCCTCCTTGAGAATCAGGTATTACTAAGCACATCATGCAGCTGTGCATAATCTATGAAACTGGCAAACTTCACAACCTATGAAACTGGCACATGAGAATCACATCCTGAAGGCTCACAAAACAAGAAAACCCCCTAGAACCTTTATGCAAACAGATTAAACTTTGCAAGTTCCCCATGACTTGTGGTTTCACATTATGGGAGGATACGCCACTTGTGGATTGTTTTAGTGGTGTAAATACACTCATTATTTATCAGAAGAATTGGCCATGACTCTCTTACTGCATTTCTTACTGTTTGTAGCCATGTGCTCTGATATGGATATTGTGTTAAAACAAGAAAGGTGGTTATAATACAAGCCATATGGATGCCATAACACTGGTGGGTTTCAAAATTTTTTACTACCGGTTCTGTGGGTGTGGCTTGGTGGGCATGGCATGGCTTGGGGGTGGCAAGGGAAGGATACTGTAAAATCTCCATTCCCACCCCACTCCAGGGGGAAAGTTACTGCAAAATCCCCATTTCCTCCTGATCAGCTGGGACTTGGGAGGCAGAGAATAGATGGGTGCGGGGCCAATCAGAATTTTTACTACCTGTTCTCCGAACTACTCAAAATTTCCACTACCGGTTCTCCAGAACTAGTCAGAACCTGCTGAAACCCACCTCTGTGCCATAAGACATAAACTAAAAATAATGTGTTGAGGTCTGGCATCAGCTTCTTTGGTGCCCAGGGCTAACAGTAAGAGCAGAAAAGTATGAAACCTACACTCTGCAAGTCACTAATCTAAAGCTCCTAGACCTACCAGGAATTGAATCTGGGTAACTTTTCTAAAAAAAAATCAACTTTCTTTGTCTATGTCAGAGTATATTATATATACTCCAAATTTCCTATATGCCTTTTACCCTCACAACCTTACAATAACGTATTTTCCTATGCAATATGCCCTAAAAGAAAGAAGTCAAAAGGGGGAAGGGATTAATTGTCTTCTTTGAATATCACAAAGATAAAAATGTATTCTCTCTGGCAGGTGAACCAAGGCATCTCAATAGGACTAATAATACAGAAAGAAGGAAATTCACCCAAAGAAAGATATTCTAAGAACTGATGTCTGAGAATAAAGATATGATATGAAAAAAATCTTCATTAATCAAAAACATCTTGAGGTATCATAGGCCACAACTTAGTACTGCTCCATGAATCTCTGGATTTTTATAGAATTCTGTAACTTTACTATTTCTACTCAGGCAAAATATGACAGGCCCCCATGATTATTTTAATTCTATAAGAATAAGTTAACTCACTATGAGAGTTATTCATTATAGTTCTTTATAGGTTAACAAGCTAACAAGTCAATTTACTATATTAAATATTCAACAACAGAAATAACTGTAACGCCATCTCTTTATGGCTTTATTATTGGAGGTTCAGATGTAGTTCGAGGACCTCGCTTTCGATGCTTTGGCCTGATTTGTAGACCATTGGCAGACGTAAAAGATTGGGGTTGGGTTTGTTTTTTTTTGTTTTTTTTTTGTAATCTACTTTGAAGTTCTTATAAAAGCTTTGGCTTATAGTGTTGTAATGTTTTTCTATTGTACTTGGTTCATTTTTAAAGGCAGTTAGCTGCTTTCGTAAGCCAGGAATGCAGGGCATACAGTTTAGAAAAAAAAAAAATAATAAGCAACTGTTATTGATTTTGTTACAGCAGGCAAAGCAAGGATCTTTCAAAAGATTAAGCTTATTTCATCACTATGCAGTACAAAAACATACCCAAAAGAAACCAACAGCACACACATACCTCTTTCGTATGTGCACCAATCTCTTCAGTACTGCAACTCTTACCTGATTAATCACATAGATACCATAATCGAGCTGCTGCCTTTGCAGGATTGGATGCAGGTAAAACAACCAGTATTTCAAGTGTTCATCTCGATTTCTGAAAGGGATAATAATTGCCACTTTCTGAAGTGCTTTGCAGTCCTTTGGTGTATAGCGGCCTCCTTCCCTGAGTTCTGGATTTTCCTTCTCCACATTCTTCAGATTCACAACTTGTGAAAACTCCACATGCAGTGGACCAACTGGGAGGAGAAAAAACAAAACAAAACAGGATCAGATCAAATAAGGTTATGGGTGGCAGGTGACTCTTTGAGAGTCATTGCAAGACTTTAAAAGAATCTAAAAACTACAGTAGGCGCCAAGGTTCATTCTAGCTATGTTTATGAAGGTGTTATGTGCAAAACTCAAAACATATTTCAGAAATCTCATTTTGGCTTCCTAAGTGTTACATCTCTAGAATTTTTACTATAGAAGGGTAGTATCTAAGCAAAAGGATTAACATTATTCTCATAGGTATCCCGCCTGTCAAAAGTCAAGATACAATCTTTATTTCTTACATCATTTTAGTTTAAAATTCTATTTTGTTGGCACCCACCTTCCATTGCTCTTGGTCTGGGGCTTGTGTCCTACACTTTGGGCACATCACCTTCCCTCAGCCATTGCTAATTCTGGACTTCTCTCATCATCCACTTCATTGAGCAGGGTGGGGAATTGGATCTAGACCAGTAACTTGAGCATATTCCCTATACTGCTGGTTAGAAGGAAGACGGGGTGGGGGGGGTGGGATTTGACATCCTAGATCAGGGGTGTCAAACTGGCAGCCCACAGGCCGGATGCTTCATGTGCAGGCCACGCCCACCCCAGCTCCACAAATGGGAAAAATGTCGCAAAACATCATGTGACAGCAATATGACACTGCAAGTTTGACATCAATGTCCTAGATTAAAGAAATTGTCTCAAGGTTCCATGTGCTCACTTTTTTCCATTGGTCTCCTGAATACTGTAGTGAAACTGAATGTAGCATCAGCAATACATAAAAGACCTATTTTGCAGATCGGCCCTACCCCCAAGATATTCATCACGGTTTTGTTTTAAAACTTACTTTACTTATACGTTTGTGTGCCACCTACTCCAAAGATTCTTTGTTCCCAGATCTTTCAGAGCTCTTGCTATATTTCTAAGCTTGGTGAGAGCATCTTGGCACACCATGGAAACTATATAAAGCTTTTTATTCTTTCTTTCAATGACTGAAACTTGGCCATGTCTGTACAGTGGTCAACATATTACAAGGCTTTAGGAAGATTTGGTTATGAGGCACTGATGATTATGATTTTCATAGTCAGGTTGGTACTCAAGACAAACTAATAGATGCATCTAACACAGAAGGTTTATTTTTCAAAGGTAACATTTGTGCCTTAAAAGGTATTTGCATGTTGCAATCTCATAATTCAAAAAGTGTTTCTGGTAAGAGATCTGTAACATAATATATTATGATACATTACAGATCTGTAATGGAGTCCTTAATCATAGTTAAGATAGCAGTAGCACTTAGACTGATATACCGCTTTACAGTGCTTTACAGTCTAAGCTGTTTACAGAGTCAGCATGTTGCCCCCAGCAATCTGGGTCCTCATTTTACCCACCTCGGAAGGATGGAAGGCTGAGTCAATATCATATCCACACCAGCCCTTAGGTACTATAAGCATAAATCAGACTTGTTAAAAGCAATGTACAGAAATTACATCTTCAGTCGATCTACTATCAAACTTTTCTAAACTAAACTGGATTATTTTTTTTTACCCCTTTAGGGATTCTTTTTTATTATACAGCCACAATGACTATTTAGGACAAGCTTGTATTTATAATCCTATCTGTAGTAGTGTAACAGGGAATCTATATGGAAAATTCCTGGATGAGATACTGTCTAGGAACTCCACACTGCCTTTGTTCTCTTATCATGGAATTAAAATCAAAGCTGTGACATAAATAAAATTCAACTCGGCAGACGGTAATGAATTTGCCTAATTGTAATCCACAAACCTCAACCCAGCAATAAATACATTGCCATTTAGAAGTGGAAATTTATTACAGTCATTCTTAAATCACCTTGTTAACTGCCATGGGAGGTTTCCCCCCTCCCTCTTTTAAAGAAAAACTTTCAGCACTAACCACATGCAAAACAAAACCTCTTTTGGGTTTGGCTCACCCACTGAAACTATGCCCCTCCAAATGCTTCCACATCAAAACTACAAAGCAAATGGGATCACTAACACAAGCCATTTGCCTGGTTTCAGCACACTCTCTAACACAAATACACATGCACAATCCCATCCTCTTTCCACATTAGATTAGCAGCTCAGAATAGCTGGAACAAGATCATGTAGCAAAAGGCTCCAGGAAGTCTGAGAAAGGGCAACGTTTATTCTTCTTAAGAAAAATGAGACCTGGCGGTGGAAGACTGGAGATTTTAAACATGGACCTGCCCCAATCTTATTAAAATAAGGGATAGGAGGGACCCAGCCGCAGTTAATTCTAGCTTTGGCAATGTTATGATTGGATTACTGCATTCTGTACTGGTCAAAACTGCATTCAAATATATTATAGTCATTTGGCTTTTCACATGATATGTCAAATGAAACCAGCAAAATTAAATAGATTCCCACAAACTCAAAGCAAGGTTACAGGGAGATTATCATGCACATGTGCACACCCACACTTCTGCATGGTTCTTTGCTTTGGTCTTGCCTCCTTCTAATCAGCTTCAGATTGTGACACATTCTCGTGTGGGATATGAGCTACTCATTCAAGCAGATACTAACAAGCAGATACTTAGTTGGGTTGCCCAATCAGAGAAAGCCATACCTACTGCATCTCCACTGTCTTAGTCACTGCCATGTCATCAAGAACCGCACCCAATATAGAGATTGTGAATTCATACAGAGACTGCTTCAAACTCTAGCAACATCCTATCTGTCTTCTATTCTCCAAATGGTTGAGACTACATACAATTCCTATAATCTCCAGATCAGCCTCCATCCAATTTTTCTCAAGTTTGGGAATAACTAAGCTAAAGTCAAAGATTCTAGCCAATTTCAGTAGCCTTATCAGCAAAGGGCTGTGTAAAATTGGCTATGGTGACCAGACCAAGTATTGTATCTTGCTTTTTCCTAATATAATAGGGGATTTATTTATTTTTTTTCCATTCAACTGTGTCAATTCTCAGAGACTACCTGGACACGTCCCTCCAGTTTTCTTAGCAAGGTTTTTCAGAAGTGACTTACCATTGACTCTTTCCTAGGAATGAGAAAAAGCAACTGGCCAAAGGTCACTCAGTTGGTCTTGTGTCCAAGGAAGAACTAGAACTCATAGTCTCCTGCATTCTAGCCTGATGCCTTAACTACCACACCAAACTGACTCTCAATAGGGGCTTAGTTATCTTCAAAAGAGTTGCTAGACTTAGTAAGGAAGAAAAATAAAGGCATCTCTTTCTCTCTAGGGATTGTTTTGGCTGCCTAACTTTTTGAAAATCCTCACCAAGAGATCAACAGGGATTGATCAGCAGAAAGTTATTTCTCAGGAATATCTCATTCAGCTCTTTTATCTCTTTCCTGCTGCCAATGGCTCACCAAGCATTGGGCAGAGCTGCCCACTACATAACTCAGAGTTCCCTAAGTGCTTTCTGGAAACAATTGGATCCACCAGGCTCCAGGAGCAGATTTTCCAAATGAGTCCTATTTGTCAGAGATGGTAGACATTTTTCATAGCTGCCAAGTAGGAAACACACCACTATTACAGAAAGCCTGAACAACTTAAAAGAAGGTTTAATCACTATTTTACATCTCAAAACTGATCTAAGTAATCTGACACCAACTCCTACTGCCACTGAAAAAGCAGTAAAGAATCTGCTTCTTCAACCTCAAGCTGTCAAAATGGCTGATTCTCCTAATTCATTACACCCTTCTCTCCCCATCTTCAGTTGAAACCTGGACCTTCTTCAAGAACAGTAGCAGATCCCCTGTCACACTTTGCTCAATTTCTATTAAGAGTGATGCTGTAAAAACAATTCAAGTAACTACCATCCTATAAACTTATGTATACTTGGCACATTATATGCTAAGCATTTTTTTAATACATTTACTGATGAGATAGTCCAATAATTTTTTTTAGTAATGAAGCAAACCGGTTTTAGGACAGGTTTTCCTTTTGCTGATCAATGTATCACTTTGCATTACCTCTGTATCCAGTATGCTCCTAGATATACTCTTTATACTTCTTTCAAAGATCTGAAAGCAGCATTTGATTCGATCCTTCATGAGAGGTTGTGGAAAAAGCTAGCAGTTTAACTTTCACTGGCTCCTACAATTACTTATGAGGTTACATGAATATTCTACTGTGTTTCCCTGAAAATAAGACCTAAACAGAAAATAAGCCCTAGCATTTTTTCAGATGCTCGTAATATAAGCCCTATCCCCAAAATAAGCCCCAGTTAAGATTGCCAGTCAGATAGTACCGTATTTCCCTGAAAATAAGACCTAACAAGAAAATAAGCCCTAATGTGTGTTTTGGAGCAAAAATTAATATAAGACCTGGTCTTATTTTTAGGGAAACACGGGTACAATACTGATTCTGTACTCAAAATAATGAACAATCCTATTCCAAGTTCTGAGAGAGCTAAACAGGGGTATATGCTGGTGTTTTTATTATTTATTTTTTATGTCAACAATTTTTTTGAAACTCTTACTAAAGCCAAATTTTACTCATTTTTCAGTCATTATACCAAGCTCCAGTCTGCCATTCTGCTGATGGTCTTGTGATCTTGTGTTTCTTTCCCAAGTAATGCTACACAAACCTCCATTCATTAGCATTGTTCTGTCTTTCTGAAATACTAGCAATCAACCATGTGAAAATCAGGATGATTGTATTCAACAAGCAGCATGCTAACCACTCCCAAAACATGAAAAATTAATAACTTTCAAAAGTTATTGGAAGATCAAGGTTTTCAAAGATCTTGGCATCTTTCTCCAGTCATCTTCATCTTGGAAGCTTCATTCTTCAAACTGTTTTCCTTTCTTTTTATTTACAACATTTTCAAATTTATAGCTAAATCTAAAAAGGAAGTAAATATGACAATTTTTATTATGTTAAATATCCACCTATGTTTATGGGTATAGGTACACAAACAGCTAGGAAAAGTATATTTGGTCACAGCCCAACTATACATTTAACATTTACAGCCCAACTA